CAGCTTCGACCAAATTCATCATACGCCAGTGCTGTTAAATCATATCGTACAGTTGCCACCCAAACATCAATAGGCACACAGACCCTACCAAATAAAACCCAACCGTCTACATCCAACAAGAAAAAAGAAAATGCAACCCATATAGTACAAAAGAAAGAAACAGTTATTCAAAGTAAGCCGAAAATCTGCCACTGACAAAAAATATCAAATAAAAGTAGAAGTCGCCCAGCAATAGCTCTCTTGATGACATGATTTCTGAATCTGCGGATTCAGACTTTATGGAAGTGGAGGAGAGGGTCTGGAATTTCCCAAGCATCTACTTCCACGAAAAACAAAAGAACAGCACAGGAAAAACAAAAACCATTCATAATGGCCACCCTCGTGTCATGGAACTGTCGCGGTTTCCACCGAAATTTGCTTGACATCAAATCTATAATAAATGTGTACCATCCTGTGTGCTTAGCAATACAGGAAACAAATCTGAAACCAGAACACCATGCAAAACTTCGGAGGTTTTCTTTCGTCAGGAAGGATAACCTTGCAGGTGAGTGTGCCAGTGGAGGAGTAGGTCTCCTCTCCTCACTGGATTATCCCTCAAATGTACTTCCTTTGACGACATCCCTCCAAGTTGTCGCTACTCAAGTAAATTTTGATATTGTTCTTTCATTTGTTTCTTTGTATTTGCCTCCAAATGAGCACATTTATCAGCAAGATTTAAATAATCTAATAGAGCAGCTGCCTGAGCCTTTTATCATAATAGGAGATTTTAACGGCCATAGTCCACTCTGGGGTTGCAAAGATACAAATTGCCGAGGAAGACAAATTGAGCAGATGATCGAAGATCACAGCCTTTGTCTCCTAAATAATGGGCAAGATACGTACTTCCATGAGGCTTCAAGGACATTCCACGCTCTCGATCTTGCCATCTGTTCACCATCTCTGTTGCCATTTTGCACTTTTAGTGTCGGAAATGACCTGTACAACAGCGATCATTATCCTATTTTTGTGTCTCTTGCACGAAGAGGAGCAAACCCCGTGTCGAGAGTCCCTCGTTTTATCCTGGACAGGGCAGACTGGGAACTCTTCTCTTCCTCCGCAGACCTCACAGAGGAAATGGTAGAAGATGTGCATATCGATGACGCTGTGGAAGCTGTTATTAATACTATTATTCAGGCAGCTATGCTTTCGATTCCTAAAACATCAGGAAAAACACTAAAATATTCGAAACCGTGGTGGAATCGCGACTGTCATGAAGCACTGAAAAAACAGAAAAAAGCATGGGGTATTTTTCGTAGATATCCTACTCTGCGAAACCTCATAGCTTTTAAAAGAGCCAAAGCAAATGCACGGAAAGTAAGAAGGCAGAGCCAGAGGGATTCCTGGATTTCATATGTGTCCTCAATAACATCCTCTACGCCTAGTAAGCGGGTTTGGGAAAGAGTTCGAAAAGCATGTGGAATGTATAAAGACCACTCACTTTCCTTTCTGGAAAAAGATGGCCGAGTGATTAGCTCCATAGAAAATTGCAAATACAATTGGTGAGACATTTGCTGCCGCCGTTTCTTCCAGCCGAAATTACTCACCTGCATTTCTTTCTATCAAGCAACGCTCTGAGAAAAATCCCATCGCTTTCAACTCTTCCAACTTTGAGCCGTACAATAGAGACTTTACTATGGTTGAATTAAAGAGAGCTTTGTTGCAGACACATAGGTCTTGTCCGGGTCTGGATGGTGTGTATTATGAAATGCTAAAGCATCTGTCCTATAAGTCACTGAGTGCCCTTCTCACACTTTACAATAGAGTGTGGAAGGAGCGTACATTTCCCAGTGCATGGAGGAGAGCTGTTGTCATTCCTATTGCGAAGCCAGGGAAAGACCCGAGGAATCCCTCGAACTATCGGCCAATTGCCCTTACCAGTTGTGTTTGCAAACTGTTTGAAAAGATGGTAAACAGCCGCCTAGTCTACTTCTTGGAAAAGAATAATATTATGTCGCCTTATCAGAGCGGTTTTCGAAAGGGGAGAACGACCGTAGACAATATGCTTCTATTAGAGACATCTATTCGAAAAGCCTTTGTCAGAAGAAGTCACCTTGTCTCAATATTCTTCGACATTGAGAAAGCTTATGATAAGGCATGGAGATACGGTATACTCCGGGATCTTCACGAGAGTGGCTTGCGCGGCAACCTACCAATTTTCATACAGAATTTCTTGAACGCTAGAACTTTTCAAGTAAGGATTGGCTTCTGTTTTTTCCGGATGTTTTTCAACAGGAAGAGGGTGTGCCTTCAAGGCTGTGTGCTTAGTGTAATCGCTGTTCAGTTTAAAAATAAATTCTGTATTAAAAGAACTTCCTCCCACCATCTCGAGGATCACTATATGTAGATGATTTACAGATTAGCTGTCGAGGAGGCAGACATGAGATACATAGAGAGGCAATTGCAGATGGCTCCTGAATAAGATCCAAGAATGGTCAGACAAACAGGATTTACTTTTTCGAAACAGAAAACTGTGTGCGTGCACTTTTGTAGGAAGCGAGGTCTCCATCCTGAACCTGAGTTATATCTAAATGGTACAATTATTCCAGTAGCGCCCGAAGTAAAATTTTTAGGAGTGACGTTCGACCAGAAATTGACTTTCCTTTCTCATGTTTTAAACCTGAGAAAGAAGTGTCTCAAAACACTAAATATTTTAAAAGTGTTGGCGAACACCTCCTGGGGTGCAGAGCGTTGCTCCATGCTTTGCATTTACAGAGCGCTTATCCGCTCTAGACTGGACTATGGCTCAGCTGTTTATGGATCCGCTCGCTCATCTGTTTTGTTAAAACTGGATCCTGTTCACCATCAGGGTTTGCGGATTTGTTCAGGAGCTTTCAGGACTTCTCCTGTCCAGAGCCTGTATGTTGACTCTAACGAACCATCACTTTATCTGAGGCGTGAGCAATTGTCCCTTTTGCAATATTTTAATATTCTATCACAACCTGAACATCCCAATAAGCTATGCTTACTTGATAATGAGTGTAATACAATCTATTTGAAACACGTCCATCCTGTATTCCTTTTTTCCTACCTTTCCTTTAAGACTTTTCGCCCTATCATTGAGGAACTATTCCCTCTCTGATATGCGTCCCCGAAGCAGTACAGAATTTTGAATTCCCACCTTGTGGAAAATGCACGGAATTCAGCTTCTTGATGTTTTCAAGCATCACGTCAAGGCAAGCACCAATGACATCATTTATAGACAACTCTTTGCTGAGTCACAGGCACAAATATAGCAGTTAATCTTCCGAGTTTATACAGATGGATCCAAGTCAACAGAATCATGTCGGGATGGCATTCGTAATTGAAGACTACATGGAGGGCAGACGCTTGCACCATGCCTCCTCTGTCTTAACATTGGAATTAACTGCAATATATTATTGTCTTTTGTACATCTCTAGGCTCTGCCACAAAAAGTTTATAGTTTATACAGACTCCTATAGTGCACTGAAATCTTTAGAAGCTTTTTCTAACACTCAAAACCCAGTCATAGTGGATGTTCTCAAGATACATATAAACCTAACGAGTCGTGGATATGAAATTCTGTACTGCTGGGTTCCCGGTCATGTGGGAATTAAAGGGAATGAGCTGGCAGATATCACAGCCAAATCTGCTGTTGAACTGTCCAATCGCCTCATCCCTTTTGGAGACATCTGTTGTGTTGTGAAAAAGAAGATACGAAAAAAATGGCAGCAATTTTGGGATGTTCAGCGTCAAAACAAGTTAAGACAAGTAAAGCCTAGAATTGAGCATTGGGATTTTTAGCTGGAAATCGTAAAGAAGAAGTTCTTTTGACTCGCCTCAAGAATTGGTCACACCAGAGTGACACATGGCTACCTTTTGAAAAGGCAGAGAATGAGCCTGCTTTGTTTCAAATTGTAATGTTTGTCTATCTGTCCGTCATATTTTAATTGAGTGTCCATATTTTAATAATCTTCGTCAGAAGTATTTTAATAGCTGTGACTTACCTCTCGACCGTTTAATCGGAAAGGAGGTGAATTGTAATTTATTTTATTATTTAAAAGAGACTGGCTTTTATCACCTAATGTAATTTGTTTTGAAAATTGTGTCTTGAATTTTAAATGTGTGGTTTTAACTTGTTTTTATATGACTTCATCCTCTGGATTTGACACATTTGTCTACTTGTTTTTATTTATTGTATTTTAATTTCATCAATTGTACTCACCCCATCTCGCGTTTGGCGCACTATAATCAACTTTGGTTTTGCGCCATAATCTCTCACTCACTCACTCACTAACCTCTCTGTCACCTTCTTGATGTCTTTATCCATTTTTTGCAGCAATTCCACTTTTTGTTTGATGGACATTGAAACATACTTTCGTTTTGTAGATCCTTTGGGAGCTCCAGCATCGGGAATTCTATTTGACATAATCGCAAGTTTACTTTTATAAAATTGCTCTTACAGTCTGCAAAAAATAATAAGCCGCATCCAATTCGAAGATTAAGGAACAACACAATCATCAACATTAACTGAAATAGATAATTAGATAATTTTAGATTATACCGTCCGTTATGCATTAAACACGCAAGCGAAAACGTATTCTGCACTTGTGCACACGCATATGCGCAGTCGTAAAGGTCTTACGCGCACGCGTAAACACCTATGCGCATGTGTCAATGCGGTGCATGCGCAAAAAGTTTTTAGCTTTGAGGTCCGGATTATAGATCATTCCGGATTATGGGTATCCGAATTTAATGACGTTTGACTGTATATATATATATATATATCAAGATATAAGTATGCTTTAGTTGGTTAGTTATTTGTAATCCATCCAAATATAATTTAAAAATCAGATATGAGAAAATGTAAACAAAACTTAGAAATTGAAAAACTCTCTAATCCACACAACCCTTGGTACCAAAGTGTGTGGATGATCGAAATTTTGCTGTACCACTTTTGCTAGTTAGTTTGTATGACAATTTTTCTTTTCTTTTCGTTTCAGAGTCATGGTTTTCCGTAACCCCAGAAAAAATAGCTCAACATATTGCTGAGAGGTGTGCCTGTGGTATTATAGTAGATGCTTTCTGTGGAGCTGGAGGCAACACAATTCAGTTTGCTCATACATGTAATCATGGTATGTTTAAGTATTGTGTACATTTAGTTTTTTCTTGGCAGTACGTGGGATAGCACGAGCCCCCCCCTCCTCCCAAAGCATAAAAAATATTTTCTTTCATTAAAGGTATCCCTTTTAAACCATATAATAAAAATATGCTGTATCATAATTAAATTAGCTAAATAAATGAATTTTGGTCTATGTAAAGCAGTAATTTATTTTTGATTTTAAGAGTTGTTCCAGTGCTGCCATACACATTAGTGTGCAAAACTTAAGCAACAAATTCATTTTTCAACGTACAACCATGCAGCTGCTGAAATGGGCTTTTTATAATCAGTACAATGTAAAGTCAGTAGAAAGGTGATGCAAATATCAGCACCATGACATCAGAAAATGCATCAGGGAATGCAGAACATGAGGAGTCAGGGCACACTGTGCAAGACAATTTAAAAAGAAGAAATGCTTATTTCCAGGTATTCTTTTGCAAGTAAAAGGGAAGATGATATGTGCACTATGACTACAAGAAAAGATAGAATGAGTAGAGGTATAGTTTGACATCTTTTCCCAAGAGTTTGGAATTGATAAAACTTGTTTCACGAGCTTGGAAAGCCTTCCGAATGGCAGGTACGGCTGTAGGTGAACCAAGGAACACATTGATGACTGATATATCGCCCTGCAAGTGAAAAGAGATCAAAACCAGATAACAGGCAGCATTGTTCAGCAGTTACACACAACAACCAGATGATAAGTGTCCTGTTTACTGTGGCCAGACAATTTCATAAAGACGGTTTATATGCCGACCATCATGAACACTACATACCATTAAAAGCAGCCCATCAGCAACACTGTTTACAATGATGTAGAGAACAAAAAGACTGGAAATCTCATCAATGGAGTCTGATGAGAGTCATTTCAGTCTGACAAACAGCTCTCAGCACCAGTCAGTGTGAAGAGAGGTAGAGACACTTTTTCATTCCACTAACATCTGGGAAAGAGTCCACTGGGGTGGTCCTAGTGTGCTTGTATAGGAAGGCACAATAATAGACAAGCAGATAGAGTACCACATTTTTTACAGATGTTCACTTATGGAGATTATTACTGTGATGAAGTTATCTTTTCCCGCTTTCATCTTTTCAGGAGTACTGTTAGTCCCAACTTTGATTTTATGGATGACAGTGTGTGGCCACACAGGACTCACGCTGTTGAAGAGCTGCTGGCAAGTGAAGATATCCACAGAATGATTTGGGCAGTGTACTTCCCTGATTAAATCTCAATAAAGTGTGTGAGATACTTTAGAGCAGTATTTCCCAAACTTTTGACATATGTGTACCCCTTCTATAATTTTTGTAATGCTGAATGCCCCTTGTAAAAAAATGGATTTATTTTAATAACAAAATATATTTGAAAATATATTTATTTTTCTTTTTTGTGACATACACATAATAATAAAAGATTTCAAACAGTGATCCATAACCTACGTTAGGAATAAAAATAATCAAAATCAGTGGGACTTACCAAAGCACATAACAAACATTTCCTATAAGGAAAATTGCACAAAATCGAAAAATATACAGACACATGGAGAAGCCATCCTATTAACAAAGTAAATTGTCTCTGTAACGAAACGTGATATATTCCCGCCATGTCATACCGGACCATCTCATGCCTCACAAGACTGTCTTGACTCATGAGAACATAGAATTAGATGCAGCCAAACACGGTGCAGTGCATATCTCCACCAAACTTTGGTGCAACGCATACTTCCACCAAACTTTTCCCGTACCCCTAGGGTACGCGTACCAAACTTTGAAAAACACTGCTTTAGAAAGAATCCTGGCAGCACGATATTACCCTCTGGAGAACATCAGGCAACTGGAACAGATTCTTCTCTAAGTATGGGAATGCTTACCCCAAGAATTGTTAGATATAATCTGGTATTGAATATCAGTAGACGGTGCAATGCAACCATTGCAGTTAGGGGAGGTCATATTCCTTAAGCCTCTTTGGTTTGTTGTTTTGCTTCTTGGCAGATAATTTTTGGTGCCAACACCATTCAGTTAATAAAGCCTTTTTCTGTTCATTCTATACTATATGCATCCTGTTCAATTTTTTTTACCTATTCTACTTTCTTCATCCTTTAAATACTACATTATGCCTCTGTAATTTATGAATTTCATGTCTCTCAGTTGATTTTTTATGGAATTACAGCCAACATCAGAAAAGTAGCTTAAGGTTTTCACACTAATGTATTTGAAATATTATGACTGGTTTGAAAAATGAATTCTTAAAAAACAAATAAAAGTTTGTGGATATAATTTGAAAAGTACTATTATAAATTGAAGTTGTTGTTGTAGTACCAAGAACTTTAGTTAAATGTAGTAGTGCAATTCACTGAATTTGAGCAACCTAGTTGTTGCTGTTACCGTACCACTGTAATGCCACCATGTAGGACAACCATATAACATAATCTTTCAAATGCTCTTAAATACAATTATTTCCATAGTTTCCATCTAAGTCCCCATATGTGGATCATAAGACAATTTGAATAATTGATAATTACATTTGTTCGATCTTGCAATTCTGAGAGTTGCAGAATCCAGATTATTTTTTTACCAAGAATGAACCCTAGCTATTTTAATGTATTACTATTTCAAATGGGGACATTCTACCATCATAATCTTGAGGTGGGGTTTTTTGTTTTTATATATATATATATATATATATATAACTAGTTTTGTACTCAAAGATATGTTGTTTTTCTTCTTTCTTTCTTTTCTTTCTTTTCTTTCTTTCTTTTTTTTTTTTTTTTTTTTTTTTTCTTTTCCCTCCTCCTTTCTTTCTATTTTTTAGTGCTGTTGAAACTAAGTTTTAATTAATTAGTTACCAATTTTATTTGTAATTTTTGTATTAAAAGTCCAGTAAGACCCCGCTTAACACTGTTTCGTTTAGCGCTGTTTCATTTTAGCGCTCTTTTATTTCAACCCGGGGATTCCACGAAATCGCTCGCAGCATACGGGGATTCCCCGAAATATTATGCAGCGATAGGTTTCAAATACATATCCAAAAGAGTATACTTGTATTTCTTGTTTGGTGCGGTATTGTACAGACATATTTTGAAGGGGTAAATGTGGAAGATGTTGAAGAAATAATTCAAGAAGTAGCGGCTAGTCTTTCTAATGATGAGCTCAAGGAATTAACTGAACAAGAAGAAAACAAAAATGTTGACAGCAGTGATTCAGAAGAAGAGCAAAAAGAACTTTCGATGGCGTTTGTAAAAAGGAGTTTGTCTACCATAACTGAAATAATGGATCAATTCATTGAAAATGATCCGAATTTTGACAGGAGCTCAAAAGTAAGGCGTGGTGTTAGAGATGCTCTATCCGTTTATGAAGAACTTTTAAGAGAACAACGCAAAAGAAAAAGGCAAACAACATTAGATGCTTTTGTCACAAAAAGGCAGAACACTGAAAACGCGGAAGGCTAACTAAATATGACTGAGAATTTTATTTGTTTTTTTTTTTTTTAAGAATATTCGTTTTGTTATTTATATTTTGTTTTTATTTTTGCAAGAAATAATAATGTGGTATTAATTTGGGCTTTAAGAAATAAATGTTTGGTTTTATTTTTATTAAAAAAACATACTTTTTAAATTTAATACCTAACCAATTTCCTAGCCATCTTCCCCTAACCCCAATATTTACATGTAAAGATAGCCTCGTTTAGCGCTGTTTCGCATTACGCTCTACTTTGATGGAACGTATCCCCCACGTTAAGCGGGGTCTTACTGTATGTATTTAGCACTCCATTTTTCTGTATTCTCTAATGATTGCTGTGCTTTTCTTTCTAAGTCTGTTTGATTTCTGCTGCCAACAATGATGCTGAAAATATTGGCATATGCTTGAAGAGTGAGATCATTTCCTAAGTCTATTTGTAATGACGTATTAGCCTTAATATTTCACAAAAACTGGGCCAAAATAAGATTTTTGAGGTGTACCTTTGTAACAATTTTTGAAGACTTTGACACCGTCTCTTTTATAGCTTACTTTTCTATTATGAAAATAATTCTTGAATACATTTAGAGGTTTGCTGGACTTTGAGTGTGGCGAGTAGACTTAGCCATCAGAGATTATTAAAGGCAGACATCATATATAGAAAAATTACACAAGTTTTCAAGTATAATTGTTTTTGCTGGTAGTTATTAGATTGTCCTGTGCATCCACTGTTCCTTTATTTGGTGTAAATCCATATTGGTACTGATCAAATCTTCGCAAATCATTTCAAGCAACTTAAAACATTCGCTTATCCCATCTGTTGCGAATTGTGCCAGATTATATGCTCTTCCCAAAATTCATAAAAGTGGTATTCCTTTCTGCCCTATTGTATCAAATTTAGGTACTGCCTCGTATCCATTAGCTAAATATTTAGTTTCTAGATTTTCCACTCTATTAGACAATAACATTTACACCATAAAAAATTAAAGTTTAGAGTTTGTAAAAAAGGTTAAAAACATTTCTTCTCGTAATTTACTCATGGTTTCTTTTGATGTAAAATAATTATTCACCAATGTCCCAGTGGAGGGTGCATTAAGATGTCTAGAAACCAGACTTCGCGAATTTCATTTCTCTTGCATCGAAATTGATGAGCTAATTTCTCTCACTCAACTCTGTTTGAAACAAACACATTTTGTTTTCCAAAATAAATATTACAAGCAAACTGAGGGATTAGCCATGGGAAGCCCCCTCAGTCCCATCCTGGCTGATATCTACATGCATTATTATGAATCAAAATTGTTTGAAACTTTAAACTTCCCGGCATGGTTCCGCTACGTAGACGATACTTTTACCCTGTTTGAAGGTAATAAAGATGATTTAAATAGAGTTCTTTCAACAATGAATTCTATTGATCCTGCTATTCAGTTCACTTTTGAACTTGAGACTTGCAATTCTCTTCCGTTTCTCGACATTCTGGTCACACATGTAACACATCCAACTTCAGTACTACAGTTTTACCGTAAACCTTCA